CTAATTAATCTATTACAACTTGTGAGCAATTACATTAATATGGTAAACATAAATAATAAAGCGCGCACGAGGAAATTAAGAACGGGAGAGAACTAGGGTTTTGACCCCGTTTAACCTAATTGAAAGAAAAATTATTTTTATTGTTTTTGATTGTTTTTAAGAAAAGAATTAGTTTTTTAAATTAAATACAAAAAATAATTAGTAATTAAATTAATTAAAGAAAATGACTAAATTTAACCTATTTTTGTATTTTTGGTTATTTTAAGAAAAAAAATATAATTAAGTTAAAACCCTAATTGTTCTAATTAATTTTAATTATTTACAAAAGGAATTAAAATTACCCTAAAATTAAATAACCTAATTAAATTAAATAATTTTTTGATAAAAAAAACCTAAATCTAATTGGATGAAATATTATTTTTTGTGATTTTTTGATAAAAGAAATTATTTTTTATGTTAGTAGAAATAATTAAATAAATTAATTTTGAAATATGAAAATAAAATAAAATGGGCCTGAGAAAGCAAATTGAGGGAGTGTGGATAACAATCTGGCCCAAGAAGCAAGTTGGTCCATGTTGACCTGCCCATTCCAGTGCTATGCGTTGACTGAGGCGTATCATGGTCCCTCAAATGATGGCCATCAGATTTGGCCATCTGGAGATCCAAGGGTTAGATCCTGAGGGCATATGGTGATCCCTTGACCTTGTATGCGCGCCTGAACCTGAAAAGAAAAATAATGTGAAAGAATGGGGGGACATGGGATTCGAACCCAGGCCCCAAAGCACTTTTCCAACGGCTGGCCATCAACCGAGCTGCACGTTCTTATTGTACATATAATAATAATAGATAATATGCAATAAAAGGGAGTTAGTGGAGACAATAAAAAAACGCACCAGGATTTTGAATGGACCAACAGGATGATGCCACGCTGGTCATCCCTGTCCTCACTCCGTTGCTAAAAGTGAAACACTTTTACCTACAGACATATGTCCGTAGCTATAACACTGGCTCATTCCAAAATCTTCCATAGGCAAGATAAATGACATCTAATTCCATGAATCAACTCGTCTAGACCTGCTGAGTATTATGATGCCCTTTTTATGGGCCAATTTTGCCTGCACACGAAAACCCTAAAACGAAGCAATAAAACCTAACAATGGTGAATCTTGATACAGTCCATAAAAATGCAATTAAACGTTATAGATAGTTTGCAAATGCTTCAAGGAGCAAGAATATATGATTATTTCATGCTATAAGTGTCAGAATTATACAATTCAAATTCAAGAAAAAGCCATTGTCGTGGCTGACTTACAGTGAGTTATGGTGTTGGAAAACCCTCGTTCTTGATTGGTTTTGCTTGCTTGTGATCCCAGGAAGCGATTGGGATGGCCAGAAGGTCTTGAGAATGCCTGGAACTATGAATTCGACTCAGCACTTTTTTATGTTTTTCTCAAGTTTGTTCTGACTTCTCACGCCTTTCTAACCTCTTGTTTTAGGTCTGCAAATGTTCCTTATGTATTGAGGATTGGATTAGGGTTACAAACATGATCTCAATCTTTCTCCATTATTGATTTTGATCTTGATTTGATTTACTTAAAAATCCTTCCAAAAATAGGCCAAATTCAATCTTTTTGTGCACACAAAGGCCTTGCACGAATTCAATCAATTGCCAACTGGATATAAGACCTGAAACATGTATAAGATCTTGAGATTTCAATGTTTTGGATTTTTCCATGATTTGTTTTGATTTGAATTGATTTAATTCAAATAAAAATCAAAATAAATAATAAAAGTAAGATAAAGACAAGTGGCAAGATCTAGGGCTCTTGGACCATTCTACCAACTCAAAACAAGTGCAAAAAGTTAGGCCCATTTAGCAAAAATTGCAATTTTAGGCATAGTTGACTTTTGACAATTTTGCAAAAAGGGTCAACTTCACCAATGCATAACTTCCTCAATTTTGACTCTTTGAAGGTGTTCTTGGACTTTTTAGAAAGCTTGAGATGTCCTCTAAGCAACCCTTTTGGTCTCGTCTCAATTTGGTATTCCATGTTCATGTATGAAGCTTTGACAAAAAAGGTGTTTTTGTTGACTTTTCAAAATGACCTATAATGTCCAAATTCATAACTTCTTGTGAGTGCATATTTTGAACTTGGGAGATGAATATGCATTGTATAGAATTGCATCCTCTTCAAAATTAGCTTTGGATGGGTCATTTCTCATAAAGTATGAGAAAGTTATGCTTGGTCAAAGTTGAGTTGACTTTTCCTACAAAACCCTAATTTAGCAACTTTTGGTTCTTGATGAATTGTGAGCAATCCTTGAGGAATCATGATCAAACCTTGATCAAATGATGAATGATACTTCAAAATGAGGATGTTGACCAAAAATCTTGAAGTTTGACTATATGTGGGCCACAGTTGACCTTTGCCCTAGCACAATCGATTTTCAGGCCTTTGAGCAATTGACTGAGCAAACTTCCTCTGCAAGGCTTGAAACTTGAAATGGATGATCTTTAGAACATATTAGGACAATGGTGAGCATTTGGGATCCCTTGGACTCAAGTATCTAGGTGCAATATGAAACCCTAATTTGAGGTAGGCTGCCTTAGGAGAGAGCCTGTCTGGTCAACCCTTGGACTTCCTTGAGCAACTTGAGGATCTCACTTGAAATGTATTGAGAAAAATGGGAGGGCAAATTTTGGGGTACAACAGTGACGCCTAGACACAATGAGTTCATAATTAACACAGAGCGACGATCATATATTAGGGCATTTCCTACAAGTACCACATGATTTCTACTTGATGCACCGAGATCTCCTCAGGTCGGATCAAAGAACAAAAAGTTTGCCAAGCGTACCCGAGTAAAAGCACCTCGGACCCTAGTTGGAAGAAGACTAGTTGGCAATAGTTTTAGGTTACTGACCGACATCATCGATCCAAAGGAAAGATTGAACATGAAGAACGGTCCAAGTCCCAATCAGAGGTCAAGGGAGAAGGTTTCTCAAGGAATGTCGTACATATCCAATCATCTTCCTGGGTCCCAAATGAGCCAATAACCAGGACAAATCGCCTATAAGTAGACCGACAACCACCTGCAGACTACTTGAGGTAGATTTCCACTCCGAAGTAAGAAAGAAATTGGGATATTTCTACCTCGATGATCATAAAGTGCTTTGTAACGTCTTATACTACTTTCAAGATAACCGACTAACCCCACAAACCAACACAAGTCTTTTCAGCATGCTTTGTCCTCACTCACACACTTTTTGGGAAACTTCTCAGAAGGTCACCCTTTCAAATACTACTCCAAGCCAAGCATGCTTAACTGTAGATTCTTATCTGTCATGCTACCGAAAATAAGATGCATCTTATTTGTATAGGTAGTACTTATCAATCCTTATAAGCATTCCTTCAACCATGCATTCCCTTCCCCACACAACCCCAGGATCACTCTCATTTCAATGTGAATTCGGCGACCACTCCTTTCCCTCTTCAACCTCGAGAGTGTCTTATTGTCATTCCCCATACACCGACAACCACTCCCCCTACCCTCGTTAGCCTTGAGTGTTACATGCCCACCAGCTTCCGCTTTGTACATGCTCGAACCATACCGTATTGAGAGATGACTGGCCATGTAACACTCGATATTGGAGAGGGCAAATAGTGGTTACATGTAGCAACTTCTAGGGGAAAAACTGAATTCACATCAGAATGAGAGGGATCTCGAGGTTGTGCAAGTATGAGACTGCATGGGTGAAGGAAAACTTATACAAATTGATTGGTACTACCTATACTAATAAGATATATCTTCTTTTTGGTAGTCTAGAAGATAAGAACTCCATAGTTAAGCGTGCTTGACTAGAAGTACTATTTGGTTGGGTGACCTTCTGAGAAGTTTTCCTAACAAGTGTGATAGTAAGGACAAAGCACGATGAAAAGACTAGTGTTGGTTTATGGGTCAGTTGGTAATCTTGAAAGCAGTTTGGGGTGTTACACGTCTCGCATGAGCAATAAATAAAGGTAACTACGTGATCCTAAAGTTTCAACGATTATCATGAAGCCACATCCATGGTGAAGCCAACTACCCAATAATGCACATGCAGGCAAGTACAAAATGGGACACTTTGATACCTCGTTCAACCAAATAAGACGCCTTTAAGAAAAGAAATGCACCTTGGGGCCCTGATAGAGGACAAATACCAAAGACCCAAGTCATCGTCCATCCAAAAAGGGTTATCATTGAAGGTTTATCTATCAAGTTATTTCATTGTTTCTTTGCAACGTGATCAACTCATTATTGATATAAAATATTTGTACATCATCTTTGTATTCATCTGTTGTATATGCTTATTTATCTCTCTTTCTTTTAGATTGTTTAAGATATGAGTAACAAAGATAAAATATTTGATTGTGTATCCAATACAGATATGCATGGAAAAAAAATCTAGACTCTATAAAACCCAATCGCCCCCGCCCCAAATCTAATAGGAAAAGTCATTTTAATTGGGGACAGAGGCGGGTGCAGAAAAAAATTGATTTTTAATTACGGAGACGAGAAATGCTAGTACCAGGCCCGTTTCCACCACATCTATTAAAATTAATTTATTATCCTTATTTCTTATACAACTTTATTATCCATTAACCTTTCTTAATCTTAAAATATCTCTCTCTTTTTTTTTAATAAAAAAAATACAAATTAAATAAAAATTGTCAACTATTATATTATCATAAAATATTAATACAATTTTAGATGTAATGGAATGTTTTAAAATATAATTAGAAAAAATGTTTAATTGTTTATGGGCACCTATGGTGATGATATCTTTTTGGTGATTTTATAGTCAAAATGGAAGATTGAAGATTAAAAAACAAAAGATGCAATTACCGCATCAAATCTATTTCCGTGGAAGTTCCGTCGACTGAATGACGCGTAACCCAAACCCAGCTCTCTAAGCTACCCTTTTTCCTCTCAATTCTCAATTTCCCTATCACCATACCATGGTTCCGCCGGCGCCACAACCGCCGAACCCCCAAGAAACCCAACAATTCCTCAGCTCCGTCCTCTCCCAGCGCGGTCCATCCGCCGTACCATACTCCGAAGACACGAAATGGCTCATCCGTCAACACTTGATCTCTCTCCTCACAACTTTCCCTTCCCTTCAACCCAAAACCGCTACCTTCACTCACAACGATGGCCGCACCGTTAATCTCCTCCAAGCCGACGGAACCATACCCATGACCTACCAATCCGTCACCTACAACATCCCCGTTGTTATCTGGCTCATGGAATCGTACCCTCGGCACCCACCTTGTGTCTATGTTAACCCTACCAGAGACATGGTCATCAAACGACCTCACCCTCATGTTGACCCTTCTGGTCTTGTTTCTGTTCCGTATTTGCATAATTGGATCTACCCTAGCTCCAATTTGGTTGATCTTGTTCTCTCTTTGAGTCTTGTCTTTGGTCGTGACCCTCCTCTTTTTTCCCAACGTATAACTAGTAATAACAACCCTAATCCCAATCCCAACCCTAACCCTAATCATAACCCTCATCAAAATCCAAATATCAATCAAAGTTCTAGTTTTCCAACATCTGGGTATCCTCATCCTGCTAGGAATAATTACCCTCCATCGCCTTATTCGCCTTCTCCTCGACCTTCTCATACGGAGGATCCTACTGAGGTTTTTAGGAGGAATGCTATTAACAAGCTTGTGGAGATGGTGCATAAAGATGTTATGTCTTTGAGGAAGACTAGAGAAGCTGAAATGGAGGGTTTGTTTGGTTTGCAAGGGGTTTTGAAGCAACGCGAGGGGGTTCTGGATAAAGGTGTGAAGGAAATGCGAGACGAGATGGAGGGTTTGGAACAGCAACTTCAGATGGTTTTGATGAATACTGATGTTTTAGAGGGTTGGTTGAGGGATAATCAAGGGAAGAAGTTGGAGAGTTTGGAGAATGTGGAGGATGCTTTTGAGTGTGTGGATGTTCTTTCTAAACAGATGCTTGATTGTACTGCTGCTGATTTGGCTATTGAAGATACTCTTTATGCATTGGATAAGGGTGTTCAGGTGGGAGCTGTGCCGTTTGATCAGTACTTGAGGAGTGTGAGGGTGTTGTCGAGGGAGCAGTTCTTTCACCGGGCTACGGCTGCTAAAGTTAGAGCTGCTCAGTTGCAGGCTCAGGTTGCTAATATTGCTGCGCGGAGTCATCATTATGGTAGCTGAGGAGACAGGGCTAGGTGTGTATCTGAAGGTTATGGAATCGTTCGTTGTTGGTTCTATTTGGTACAGATTGCTATTTGTTTCTTGAGTTTTAAGTTGCTGCTTCTGTCCAATAGTATAAATTGGCAGCCTCTTATGCCTCAAACCACTTTGAGATCTTTACGGGCATGAGGCTGTACCGTTGTTTTTATACAGATTTAATGATATGATTTTCTTGAAATTTTTTTTGTTTTAAGGGATTGCTAGCTCAAGTTTTTCAGTGTTTAGAGGTATACTTCATATGGATCACTGGTTTGTCCCACATTGTATTTCTTAAAAACAAACATTGGGTATATTGTGATAGGTATATATTTTTTTTGTTGCATTGATTGATGCCTTGCCTATTTCAAATTATTCACGCTAACTGATTATCAAGACTTTGTTTGTTTTCACGGTAGGAACTTCCTTGTGTTTACTTTTAAAATTCACCTGGGAGAAGTCTTTTCAAAGAATTGTATACCCTAGTTTGTTTGAATTTTGTATTTGGGAAAGTTTCTGTTTTTATTGGCTTATGACTTTTGAAAAGTTGAACTGAATTAGACATTTTTGGGGTCTCTCTGAGAAGGAACAGTGAGTCTATTGGTTAAATTACCATGTTGAGCTGGTCTTTTACTGATGGTACTAGACAGTCTTCTAGATTTTCAATGCTAGCTCAGAACTTGTATTGATTTGGATTGCATATAAATGCACTAGTTTGGTCACAGGGATTTTGGGACAATGATAAATCCAACGTCACCCTTCTAGTTCTAGTGCTTCACTGTCTGCATGGTCTGGTTAGTAATTGTTTTATTCAAAGTTCATGAGGAGTTGTGAAGTGAGTATAGTGTAAGAAAGATGTTAAAAATTGTTTTCTCATATAAAACAAGTTCTCTAAAGGTAGGAAATATGCATGAAAATAGATATATCCCCTTGAAAAGGAACAAAAACAAACCATCAGTTTTCAGTTCTAACAAGTGCTTCAATATAATAGCTGTCCTTTTTTCTTTATGCATTTGTCAAGGACTCCTTGAAGTCCTTCTTATGCATATGTTATGTATACATACATGCCACTGATTGTCATATGAAATTAGTGATATGGAATATGGGCTTTTAGGTCATATATTACTAAGTAATTACTTGAAATGTAAAAACTTCAAAGTGAGTAAAAAAAATGATGTTTCATCTTTTGTTATATGAAATGGATCATTCTTGTTGCACATGTATGATGTTATGAAAAGAAGAAACCACGCAGATTTAACTTATATTGATTATTCTATGCTTCAAAGACATCAGTAGACTATATTAAGTCATGTCAAGGAAAGCAGACTAGACTTTGATAGACAACAAGTATTATTGTGAACCTTTTTTCATGAGAAGATGTGATTAATGTCTATACTATTACATACAATCACAGAGGAGCATGTTTGTGATGGAAAGGTGATGGGGAATCTTAGTGCATTTGGCCATTAGGCTGCTGGAATACAGATTTGCTACTTGAGAGATCATAAGTAGTATACATGATATTCTAGTTTAGACATGTTCAAGAAGAGGGGATCTAGTTTTGTTGTTTTTTAGAGTTAAATAGGTATCATTTGGATGTAGAATTGTTAGTTTGGTTACACATTTGTTTGTTGAATTATCATGATGTTGGATTGCTGCTGCACAACTTGGCACAAATGAATGTGTTTTTCATCTGCAGGGCCAAAATACCTGTGTGAATTTGATATCCTAGAACTGAAAAAGAGGCTAGTTCAAGAACCATCTAATTCATAGTACATTTCCTCGTTGAAAATTTTCTTTTCTCCGTCTCTGTAATTTGACAAATCAAATGGAAAATAAGTAAAGGATTGTTTATTGCAAGGTGTGTATCTAGAAACTCATTCTTGCAGTCTCTGTACAGGCTTATGTCTCTACAGCTCTCGTTCTCTTGTTTGATTTTTCTTTGTACCTATGATGAAATATGGTGGGTGCAGGAAAAACATGTAACTCGTTTTGACTATTTTTCAAAAAGGATAGCTTGGAAATGATGAATCAAGATGGTTCATAAGTTGCAGAAAAGACAAATAATGAATAAAAAATAGAGAGTTAAGCTGGTTCATATTAGAAACATCCCAAATACTAATCCAAAATAGTATGCCATCTTCACCAGAAAATAAGATTAGATTGTTGAAACAAACATCTTGTCCATTCAATGATGTTGTAGAGATAATTGACTACCTAAAGACAATACAAATAACAAAAGTAACGAAACAAAACAATATGAAAACAATAAAAGATTGATGATAAAGGCTTACATTAGTTTTGATTAATCCTTGTACTCTCACTTCATCTCAACAGACTAGTTTCTAATCACTTGCCAGAAAGAACATAAATTTAGCATAACCACCAAAACATCGCAACCTTGTGTAAGTAGGATAAGACATTGAACACCCAATTAGCGTGGAAAAATCATACATAGTCTCCATGTTGTCGTGTGTTTTTTATTAGCTCAAGTTGGAGTTGAGCGATTTTCCTCTGGTGTTGTATTTTCACGCATCTCCAATTTGACAAATTCATCTTCATTTCTTGATCATTACCATTTAATTTCTTGTGGAGACCATTTTCACTTCTTGATCATTACCATATGATTTTCTTGATGAATCCATCTTCACTTCTTGGTCACTGCCATATGATTTTCTTGACGAATCCATCTTCACTTCTTGATCGTTACTATCTAATTTTTTTTGTAACTTGTTTGCCCAAATAGAGTTTCACTTTCATGATTATGAAATCTTTCTTCTTGTTTATAATTCCACTGACAGAAACTTGTTTTTCTTTCAAAATCTTTTGGTGGTGGCAATTCTTATTTAGAGGCTTTTCTAGTTAACAATATCTAGAAAAGATTAGTTATAAACGGTAATTTAAACTGAAGTTAAATCATTATAATTTCTTTTAATATTTAAACTTAAATTCTCTCAAAGATTAGTTATAAATGGTAATGTTTATATAAATATTTTTACACTGTCAATACATCATGACCAAACTTTATTAAAAAAAAAATTAAAATTAAATTCAAACGTTTTAAATAATTTAAGAGGTTATGATCATTAGTATATTTCAATTAAATCCATTTATTAATCACTTAGTTAACAAAACAAAAGAAAAAATAAATGTTATGGGTGAAATAAAGTTATTGTTAGAAGTGATTACAAACACTACTAGAAAGAGAAAAAGAAAAGAGTGAAGAAAAATGCTTGGAAGAGTTGTTCAACAATCTCGCAAATTTCATCGCTCCATCTCCAATGGCTACTCATCAACCGCACCATGCCATTACTCTTCTTCTACAATCTCCATCGACCGTTCTTCCCTTCACAACCCACCTGGTACTAACCCTCTTCATTTCCCCCCTTTTTTTTCTTCTTCAATCTCTCACTTTTCTTCCTTTTTGCAGAACATTCTCACCAACCCACTTCCGATTCTGAACTCCTCAAGCACCTCAAAGGAATTATCAAGGTTCCCATCACTTAAATACGCACTAATTTTATTTTCAACGTCATAAAAATTGTTTTTTTTTTTCCTTTTCCTATCTGGGTCATAAAAATTTGATTTTTTCTTCCTTTTCCTATCTGGGTCATAAAAATTTGATTTTTTTTTTCATGCTTGTAATTATCAGTTTCGTGGAGGTCCTATTTCATTAGGTGAGTATATGTCAGAAGTTTTGACGAATCCTAAAGCTGGATACTACATCAATCGAGATGTTTTTGGAGCTGAAGGTGATTTTATCACATCTCCTGAAGTCAGCCAGATGTTTGGTGAGGTGAGGTTAGCTTACCTCAATTGTTATCCAATGAAGTTTCACTTTCATTAATCTGTCAACTGTGTTTGCAATCACTGAAGGAATCTAATTTGTTGTTTTGTGTGATCTTAGATGGTTGGTGTATGGGTGATGTGTCTCTGGGAGCAAATGGGTCGACCGAAAAGAGTGAATCTAATTGAGCTGGGACCGGGACGAGGAACTCTTATGGCTGATCTTCTTCGAGTATGAATAATGAAATTGAAACCACAGCATTGATATGATTCAGTACTTCAATTTCAATTTCAATTTCAATGTTTTGAGTTCTTTGTTTAGATTATTCTTATTAAACAATTAAAAGGTGGCGTGTTATTATTATGGTTAAACAAAGTTTTTAACTTGTTATAGGGTGCTTCAAAATTTAAGAACTTCACTAAGTCCTTACATGTACACCTGGTGGAGTGTAGTCCTGCACTAAAAAATCTTCAGCACAAGAATTTGAAATGTGTTGATGAAGAAAACGCGGATGAAGATACAGATAAAAGAACTGTAAGCACTTTGGTTGGCACTACGGTGTCATGGCATGCTACACTCGAGCAGGTTCCTTCAGGATGTATGTATTGTTTTCCAAGTGAAAATAGGCTTTTCAACGTAAAATACAAAGAGTTTGACATGTTATATATACTATATAAGTTTGTTTTCTGTCACACAGTAACATAAAATATCTTATTGTACTATATTTGAATAATTCCCTTCTCTCACCAAGTTACTCCTTTTCTTGTGCTCCAGCGCCAACAATTATCATTGCACACGAGTTCTTTGATGCCCTACCCGTCCATCAATTTCAGGTGATAAAATGCTTGTGCTATTAATCTCAATTGAAATTTATGCAAGGTTTTTGCTTTCCCTATCGTCTATGGTGCCTCAACTGTTTTTCTTTTAGCATGCTTTCATCCTCTCCCATCTTTCCATTTTTGCTGGTTATGGATATGTAGCTTTTACCTTCTGTCTCATTTGCGTCAATCCACCTAGGAGGTTCTGCTCTTTCTCTGTTTTATTGTTAAGAGGATGAATATAATGTAAGAGATGTTCAATGCTTCTTGCCTGAATTGTTGCTTCTCATATTTAAATGATTCCAATAACTTCCATCTTTAAATTACTTGGGCCTGGCAAACGATCTTTATGTTCCTTGATATCCGTCAAAATAATTGCCATATAGTTGAAAGGAAAAAAAGTTGAAGTCTCGCTTCTCTCTGCATTCCAACCTTTTCTTATTAATTGTAAGTGGCATCAAAGGTCTACGAAATATAATTTATTTGTTTTTTTGGTCTCCAGAAAGCAACTCGTGGCTGGTGTGAGAAAATGGTTGATATGGCAGACGATTCATCGTAAGTATTACAGTGTATTCTACTTGTGACTGTATTTCTGCTGGATTTAGTGCACCGATACTTACATATGTCTGATAGGTTACGTTTTGTTCTATCTCCACATCCTACACCTGCAACTTTGTATCTATTGAAGAGAGTCAAGTGGGCTGCAACTGAGGAGATTGCAAAGCTCAATCAAATTGAAATTTGCCCCAAAGCTATGGATTTGACTCAGACCATCGTTGAAAGGATAAGTTCTGATGGTGGTGGAGCTTTAATCATCGACTATGGCTTGGATGGAGTAGTCTCAGATAGTCTCCAGGTCTAGCATCTTCCCCTTTTTATTCTTAATCATGTTGATTTCTAGTGCTTACCTTGCTCGGCATCCCAAGTTGAGTGTCTTGTATCTCTTTGAATTAATCAGGCAATACGGAAGCACAGGTTTGTCAATCTTCTAGATGACCCCGGATCTGCTGATCTCAGTGCATATGTTGATTTTGATTCTATTAGACATTCTGCAGAGGAGGCCTCAGGTGCTTTTCCACACGCTGATAGTTGCTGACAGATTTTTATGATCAGAATTAGACACCAGAAATATACATACATACATGCATGCATGCATACTCAAAAACTAATGATTTGTTTCCATGTTATCGAAATATTTATGCAGAAGAAGTGTCTGTTCACGGGCCAATGACTCAATCTCAATTTCTTGGCGCCCTTGGAATAAACTTCCGTGTTGAATCCCTCCTTCAAAACTGCACAGAAGAGCAGGCTGAATCTTTGAGGACAGGATACTGGCGTCTTGTAGGTGACGGTGAAGCTCCGTTTTGGGAAGGAGCTGAAGAGAATGCCCCAATCGGTATGGGTAGTCGATATAAGGCAATGGCTATAGTGAACAAGAACCAAGGTGCTCCAGTTCCTTTTCAGTAAAAGCCTAAAAAGTTGGTTTTTGCTGCATGTAACATTGTAGGTACTCAATCAACGGTTTACAGTTGACAATTATATTCCTACACTACTTTTGTTTTCTCTCTTTATTTAATTATTTTTTGAAATGTTTATTTAATAGCTTCTTGGCATGCTTTGTATTGGAAGAGTTGTAAGAGGCAACGATAATAATTTAGACTGCATTGTATTAATGGATATAAGGAAATACATGTTGGAAGGAATTGGGTACATGATATAACGAAAAAGACAAAAGGATTGATATGATAGAATGAAAAGGATTATTGTTACCGTCTCAAAAAAGATATTTTGAATTAGGACCAGGATTCTCTCCAGGATGGTGTCAAGTGCCCATCTCTTCCATTAATACTTCATTCTAGTGACTTAATAAGTGAAAAAAATAAATGGCATGGATTTCACTGCATCAAAATGTCAGGGGAGATGATCCCTCCTTTGAATTAAGGGTATGTCTAGTGTTTGACGTGTCTCATATCTATTTGTTCTGCTCTTCCATTATCTGCATAAATGTTGGTCCCATTTGATTATAAGATGTTTGTTCGTTAAAGCATGATCTGTGTCCCCCTTGGTTTATCTTCCTGGTGAGTATTGACTTGGTCCCTGCTCCTTCGTTCCTTGTTCAGTTTCTTGTGTTGTTAATGTATCTATATTTTGAGTCTGTTGCAGTTGTAGTTGACACTTAAGAATTTGAATTGTTTGGATTTGGTTGGAAACCTTTTGTTGATCCTGACTGATTTAGGTGACCATGAAATGTCATCTTATCAAGCACATACTACCTCTGTAACGGTTTATAAGCAAAAAATACACATTTTTCTTGTTACGATTTATAAACAAAAAACATCAAATTAATTTCATTTAAGCATTTTTTTTTCTTCTCAAAATACATCTTTTCTAATGTAAAATTAAATACAGACTGCATTAAATATATTTTCTCATTTTTTCTATAAACGACAACCTATTGAAATTGTTTTTACACATTTCCATAAAAATATTTCAAAAAAGACACAAACATTTAAATGTTTTTAATTAGTGTGAAAATTTGACTTTTGCTTATAAATTGTCACAGAGGAAGTATTGATTACATGCCTCAGTTGCATTCAGTTCTTGATCTTGAATGACAGAATATTAAATTCAGTTCTTGATCTTGAATGACAGAATATTAAATAAATTCTTGTTGCCGTTGAACTTGAGTAATAGCTCAGATTAAGAGTTTGAGTGTCATGGTCATCAGGGTTATATTTTGCATTATAACCAATTTTATGGTCTCAATTCTTTAACAAAAGAATGCTTTATTGGGTTGACTTGTCTTTATATAATTGGTTAAAGAGCATCAATAGAATTTTGAACGTCAAGTTAAATTCTCCATTTAAAATTTTGGATCAACTTAGAAAATTTCTCATATGATGTAAATCAACTTGAAAAATGTTCTCGTATGATATAAATCATTTCTCAACTAATCCTCTTTATTGTCTTTTAAAAATACACTTGAGAATCAAAATAACTAACTAAAGCGACACAATTTTTATGCAATTTCAATTCAAAGATTATAATAATACCATAACACACATTCAAGGACCAATCATGTTCATTCCCTTACTCTTTTTTTTTTTTTAATCAAATTAGTGGAATTTAAAATTTTCATTTGACCGGCCTGGAATTCATTCCTTCCAAAACGTAGTTGGGATTCAATAATTTTTATGAATTTAAATCCAACATTTCATCAATTTGAACCCCCTCCAGAAATCTACCCACACAAATGACATTTATTTTGCCAAAAGAAGAAAAGGTAATCAATACATATGTAGATCACACTTAGATCTCCATTTGCTTAGGAACCTCTTTGAAATAGAGGAAATGAACAACTGCAAAAATTGCTCGCTGCCTATGTCAACCCAGTTCCCATTGACTGGAGCTGCAAAATATCAGCTCACAATTTTTAGATCAGTTCATTAACCCACAAGTAAATTGTTATTAACTCACATACACAACCTTGTCATAGTTAACACAAATTCAGTATATTAACATAAACTTCTCATACAAAACATGGATAAATAGTCTAGACAACAGCTACCATAAACCTTCATCCAAGTTAACAAATAAGGTGCTCAAACATTGCTATGTTCATGGAATCATGTAAAAAAAATCTTATATAGCCAATTTATTGAATAAAACAAAGTAACCATTTGATTAACACGCATTCAGGAACATAGATTCTTCAAGTTCCGACCTTCCTGTTTTTGTATCTGGAGCCTGCCACAAGAAATCAATCCATTTGTTATCACAAGTATGCAAGATCTTTTATTTTTGTTGCTGAGAATGTGAATATGCAAATTCTTCTCTATACAAATCATCTCATAGAGATTAGACGTTCTTTACTAAATAGAAGTGAATTAACAACCATTCTTTTGTAAATGCTGAAATGAAGAGGGATAAAACTTAATTGTGCCTGCTTCATCAACAGGCACACCATATGAAAGTTGACGACATTGAACAATCTTATTTCTTATCAAATACAGAACAGAAGTTTTGTAGAAGTTTAGTATAATCAGTTGGCCATAAATCGTAAATAAAAAATAGTATAAAAAGTTCTTGGAAGCAAGACAAGTACTAAATAACCAATTACATTACATACTCCCAGGAGGAGGCAAGCCAACAAATCCTAATTTAAAAATAATGACTAAGCATCGCAGCGGTTAAATCAGATATAACAGAAAAAGGGTCTTGGGATCATTGTGAAACTCTGTCATATAAAATTACCCAAATTTTGAAATGTCACCGGCTCCATCTGCGAAACCTTCCTAGTCCTAGATGCATTAGGTGTATAAATCATGGTTATATGTATCCTAACGAGCCATGAGAGTCGTATCTTGATTCAATATTAAATCAAACACAACACATTTGAATCTCTAGTGTGTGACGATTAGGACATGAATTCCATCTTGAATACCGATTCATTCTAAATGAATCACTACCTAAACTTGGTTCAGCGAAGCATTTTTTGGCAAGTGTGTATGACCAACACAAGTCATTTGATATATGAGTTGAATCTTGTATCGGAAATGTATCCAACAATAAAAAGAAAACACTACAAACCTAAGAAAACTGAATTGTAAACAATGTAACAGGCAATGATTAAGATAAGAAGGTACCTAAGAAAATTAATGGCCGGTTCCGTGGTCATCATGACCCTCCCAGGGATGCCTCCAGCCCTAAGGTAAAAGAGAATCAATCAATAAAAAAACAGAAATAACATTATACACAGTAATTTGCAATAAAAATGTTGAGAGTGTTACCAGTACTACAGGAGCATCTTGCTTTGCCCTGTACATCACCCAAAACCTAGCAGAAAGAATTAATTTCAATTAAAATAATGAATATTGAGAAATCGATGAACTAAATTGAGAAATTAGGGTAAGGGGTGGAAAGGGAAGATGAAGATACCACATGACAGCGCACAAGCCTTTGCCGGTGACGGTGTGCCAGCGCTTAGGTTGATGAATGGTTACACCTTTGTAGGTTGTACCGCCGTGGCCGTGTCCTCCTCCCATCTTTGCCGATGTTCGAATTCACTCTTAACTCAAAATGCTGCTGGTTCCGATGTACCCACACCAGATCTCACCCTTCATATGTCAAAAATAAATAAATAAATAAATAAATAATTTTCATTTATTTATTATGAAGTTCCATCTTTACCCTCTGTGGTGAAATGTAACTTAATACTTACCGTAAAATCCTTTTGTTGAGGCCTATTTTTCTCTTAACACCATACTCGTAGTATCGGATAGCAAAATTTGATATTGTATGGATTTTTTTTAGGGAATTTCTTTTGTAATCTAGTGATCTTCTTTTAGGTTTTGGGTGAAAAATTTAAAATATTTTTAGATTTCGCATGTGCAAATGCGAATGTGTTGTATTGTACAAAACATGTGACTTTGTATGTGTATATGCGAATTAATTTATAATTCGTTAAAAATAGGGTGACTTCGTATGTGCATCTGTAAAGTCACTCATAATTCCTCCTTTCGCATATACACATGTGAAGTCTGTGAATTGTATTGAACCAAACCAACAGAACAGACCCCTCAAATCCTTTTCTATTCAAACACCAAAACTTTTCATTTTCTTCTCCAAATCCTAACATTTCTACTACTCAAACTCACTCATTTTTGCTCATCTCTCCATTTCAACTCTTTTCAAGTCATCCAAAATCATCTCCAAACTTTTAAATTTGTGTAAGTTTTCTCCAAATTAATTTGATTCACAATGCAATCTTGTAATAGTTTATTAGGTTAGTTTATAAAAATTATATTGTGTATGCTGGTGTTAGAATACTTAAACGTAGTTGCTTGGGTGACAAAAAAATGATATTTGGGTGTTTTAGGGCAAGAAGCAACAACTTTGAAAATGATTGTGCGCAGGGAGTTTCGTATGTGCACTTGCGAAGTCACCCTGGACCAGTTTCGCATGTGCGCAGGGAGTTTCGCATGTGCACTTGCGAAGTCACCACGAACCAGTTTCGCATGTGCACATGTGTAATACGGTGGGAGAACTGACTTTATTGATTTTGCGTTTTATCATAAATGTTGCGGTTAACAAGAGTCGTTACCGACTTTTCTTTTATTCAATAACGAAAATGGTGAAAAGAACAGGAAAGACCTTTTTAAAGATTTTGAGTTCAGGGGTAGATTATGGAAAGGGAAGGTATTAGCACCCTTTCCATCCGTATTTATCTACAGGCTCTTAGTTGCTAGCTCACTTTTGAAAATGCTTCGTGTTATGTGTTTGAAAATATTTTTGAAAAGATGTCTTAGTACGACGAACTTTGTAATGTTTCTCGTATCGTTGAGAACGTATACAAAGTGTTTTTTGTCTTTGAAAATATTTTAGAGAAAAGTTTGTGTATGTGTGAAGAATTATTTTATCTTGTGAGCAAGCAACTATAAGCGGTCTACCTACTCGAACGATCTTTGTTCTTTTCCTTTTTTCCTTTAGATAGTGTTATCCTACCATTAGTTGGTAGGTAGCCCTATTGTTGGATGTTTGAGGGACATGCGAGGGTCATCGTACAGTCACGAAGGCAACTCATAAGACGCTTTAGAAATTTTATCGTAAGAGACTAGATCGTTTATCGAAGGCAGCACCAAAAGGGTCATCGAGGGACTACGATCTTTTTAACTGAGGATCTTTGCTAAAGTATCCCACGTTCGAGAGACATGACTGTTTGTTTTTCCGAAGGCAACAAGTAGAGGTACCTTAGAGGTGCGCGTGTGTGAAGTGTGTTATTTTCCAGTTATTTGTCTTGAAATTAAGTTATCTAATATTTGCTTTTAGTCTTTCTATACAAGCCTATTAGCATACATCTAGCAGTTAAGTATATACAACTGCAGAAAATAAAATGCGGAAAATAATCTATGTTATTACATCGCTTCGGGATTGGGGGAATTGCAAACCAAAAATGGGGGAAATAAAAAGTAAAAGGTCCTAATTTAAACATTTGCATCTCTTGTACAATTACATAATTCATTAAATTAATAATACGAAATAATAAACGAACGCACGGAGGAGAAAAGGGAAACATGTAAAAACCCTAAAAAATTCTAAGTGAAAATAATTTTTTGTTGTTTTTAATTTTGTTTAGAAAAATAATTAAATTATGAGAACCTGTTTCTAATTAGTTAATTAATTAAAAAAGGTAATTAAATTATTGATTAATTTAATTAATAAAAACTTAAATCTACTATTTTTTGTGGTTTTGTGATTTTTTATGTTCATAAAAAGAAAAAGAAAAAGATTTAAAGAAAATTAAATAAATAAAACAACAAAAAAAGAAAAAGAAAATGAGCCAGGCACTGCAAAAAAGTAGTTAGAGAGTGTGAAATAGCAAAAAATTCTCAGGCCTATTAGCAATAGAGCTCAGGCGCCTGGAGATCCAGTGAGGGACGCTTCTAGGAGTTCATTGTGGGGACGCGCCTTTGAGGCTTTGGATCTAGCCTGATGAAATCTGGTGGTCAGGAACTGGAGGTGCATGATGCGCATATTTGGTCCCACTCATACCTGATATATAGATTCATATAAACTCAAACAAATGTTAGCATGCCATGAAATGTGATTAAAATCAGAGATTCGGAATTTTAAACTTTACCAAACCGATGTTATCGAATGGAGGCGTTCTAGGCTTGTGATGGACTGATCTTGGGCCTTGTAAAAACTCTTGAGGACTTCAGGAGGATGACTTGAGGCTTGGTTTCAATCGAGAGAGGTTGGAACTTTGAGATATGACTTGCACCAATTCTTTGATTTTTTTGGAGAGCTTTTGGAGAGATTTTTTGGAGAGCTTTTGGAGAGCTTTTGCATGTAGAAATTCCGTGCTCCTTTGTGTTTGTAATGTTGTGTATTTATAGAGGGAAGAGAGAAGGTGAACAAACATGGTAAAGAATCAAGATTTGATGGTCTTTGAGACAAGAATAAAACACATTAAGAAGTTGCCAAAATGAGATATTTCTTGCCATTCTTGATGCTGCATGAACCTGGACATTTTGTGTGTGTCTTGCACGAAATATTGGGCCTTATAATTGATCAAGTCAAGGCCATATACACTAGCCAATGATTTCTTGTGATTTTATTCAATTTATTTGATTTTAAATTAAATAAAATCAAGATAAATGTGAATAAAAATCAAAGCCATATAAAAATGAATTTAGAGGTCCTCTAAGATGTTATGAACATGTTTGAACATCAAAAATTAGGTTCATTGGTTCAAAATTGCAATTTTGCTCAATTTTCATCTTTTGAAGATGATTTTGGACTTTTCTTGGGGAATCATTATTAACCCTTGATCAAATGATGAATATCACTTCAAAATGTTGATGTCGACCAAAAAATCTTGAACTTTGACTGTATGTTGACCATAGTTGACTTTTTGATCAGTACAATTAATTTTCAATCATCTGAGCCATTGATTGAGCAAACTTGTGATGTAAGTCTTGAAACTTGACATGAACCTTATTGAGGACCTATGAAGAACCATGGAAGCCACTTGAGACCTTTGCAATCCAAATTTTCTTCAAAAACTCCAAATCCTAGTTGTGGGCCTTTGGCTTAGGAGGTGCATCTTGACTAGTCAATCCTTGAATGTCTTGGGTATTTGAGAAGCCTTGAATGAATGTCTTGAGAGAAAACCAAACAAGTTAACAATTGTCTCAATACTTCTTTGAACAATGTTGTTCTTGTCTGGCTACTCAGCTGGGGAGAATCCGCGTCAAGTTCTGACTAGAGAATCTGGGATAGAGACATCAAATTGTACAAACCAAAAACCAAATAAACAACCTGGAGGGAAATCTGAACCAAGACTTAACTGGGGAAAATGGGATTACAGACCCAACATCTCACCATATATCAATTGGTATGAACTCCAATTATCCGAGGAAAGAAACATAAATGGACTAAGCGCACATTAGCAAGAGTAACTTGAGAGAGCTTTCTTGGGGAATCTTTTTCAAAACTTCGGAGTCCGTCCATCCTTGGAAACATTACTTTTGTTCTAATTGAATCACAAAATCTGAAGTAAAAGTAATTTGTAAATTATTTTCAAAAACATTTTATTGTAAATATTTTGTTTTGAAAATTACTATCAATAATAAATGAAATATTTATAAATAGAATAAAATAAGAACCACAAAGAATTGGATAAAGGCTCAACCTTTATTAATAGAATGGTAGTCTGCGAATGGCGAGACTTCATGCATGTTTACAAAGTTTAAAAAATGGTAAATATATGGAAAAGATACATTGAAATACAATGACCACTATTCTCTATAACAACTTTGAACTCCTGAGCAGAGACTTCAGTTGAAGTATAATGAGGATCTAAGAAGATTGTTGCTTCAATGATCAAATCTTGTCTGTCGCAGTTACTTGCCAAGAAATCCCTAACTTTTGTCTAGGTTTACCTCGCGGGTTTTCAACCTAGCGGGAAAATTTATTTTATTTGTGTCTCTTACTTTTTCCTAGACTGCCCTTTCAGGTTTTCAGCCTACTGAGACGCTCCTTTTTGTCTAAGCCTCCCTTTTAGGTTTTCAACTTAGCAAGTTGTTCTTTTATTTCTTTAGGCGAAGTATTTCTTGATTGCGTCAACATTCATAGGACGTGGGAACTCCTTGCCATCCATAGTTTCAAGAATAAATGCACCACCAGAGAAGGTTTTTTTTATTACCATTTTCCTAGAAAAAGCAGAAAATAAAAACATAATTTGGGAATCAAAAACAACTTTTATTAATGATTTTAAAAATCAAAACAATAGATATGCCTATACAATGATTACTTTCACCTTGGGAAGAGTGAATTTTTTTTGAAAAGACTAACAAAAAGCAAATTACTTTGAAATGTGAATGCAAGAAGGAACATCAACAGTGATCCAGTTTTTGGCTTTGACTCCATGCATCACGAAGTTCATCATCTCCTTCTTTGATTCATCTTTGAGAATAACGTTGATCCTTGAAGTAGTTGGATGAAGATAGCCTGCACTGTGAAAGATGTCTTGATATTTACT